TTCTGCCAATATGTCCCCTTCAATCCTACACACTGGATTTTATGTGAGAAGAAAAACTTGACACAGTCCAGCTTTTAGTGGGCACTTTTTTCATCTTTGTTAGAAATCAACACTTGCATTTGCTTTCACATTTTTAGCCGAGCGTAAACTGGCAGGACCGACGGCTGTTCTGTTCTGAAACTTATTAAACACAGATTTCTTACAGTCTGCAGCTGCGCTGCACAGGAACACTGACACATTGCATAGCAGAGATGTGAGGTGCACTCATTGCTGTTTAAGAAAAGTGCCCTGACAAGTTCTGGGTGAAGTGACAGATACCCTGAGGTTAAGATAAAGCCCTTCTGATGACAAGCTGTCTTTTCAAAACAAACACACAGTTGAAAACATCATATGTGAAACAAACATGAAGAGGTTTAGACTGAGACGTGCACAGATCCACAAATCCAAAGAAAAAAAGTCAAGCTGCTTCATCCAGAAGAACACGTGTGCATTAAGTCCGATCACTCCTTCAGTTTTCCCTCCAGAAAGCTCTGGATTTTTTGTAAGTTGTCCTCTTGCTGACCAAGAGCCTCCAGCAAAATCCCCATGGGTGACCTCTTCAGTCCAGCTCCTTCTATCTTGTTCTCCAGTTTATTCTTCATGTTGCGCAAGCGAAAGGAAGCATGTGCAAATATCACTGAAAAGCAGATGGGAAAGTGACTGTTAGTGTTTTCAATGTTTAGCAAAAACAAACCTATAAACTGTTGTTCAAGTCAAACTATAAGAACATCAGTCTCAGAGAATCTGAAAGTTCAATCCAAAACATGTTTTACTGATTTTAAAATGAACAGTGTTGCCTTAAGTTCATTTCATATTTCAAATGCACTGATCATGATACTCTAACTAGATATCTACTATGTCATACAACATATTTAATCAGCTAATAACATTCATATTAGTCTGTTTACAGTCTTGCCAAAATAATACTGCCCCAGCAGATATAAATTAAATGTATGTGATACAAATTCTCTTTCTAGCAAATGTTCAACATCCCCATCTTAAACTTACAAGCCAGAGGTAAAGTGATTGCAGACATAAACACCATGACGCTCCCCAGCATTGAGATTAAGATGTAGCTGGCCACCATGACAGCAATCACAAACGCTGTGGGATTCTGTCTCTTAAAGTTACTGATCACAGCTCTGTTCTCTCCGGCCCAAACTGAACCCAGGAAGACGGTCGACACCACGGCCATGGCTGTGAACATCCCCAGAGGGTTCAGGAACCTGCAGGGCAGCAACACAACACACGAGAGCAGAGGGGTCAGCTCAAGACTGCTCTTCTACAACTGGTGCACAGTGTGTGTGTGGTCACTGGCTCCACCAAGTGGTTAGATGTTGTTTGTACAACAACAAGACACCGTTAGTGTAGTATCACAGACTGTTATTGTGCAAATGAAACAGAACCACAGATTAATAAATGAGTATTTTTTAGGCAAAAATACCAGGATTTGCTGTTTTGCTGTATCAGATAATAGAACAGTAAATATCTTTGGGTTTCTGGTTGATAGTCAGATAAAATAAGGATTTTAAAGGCGCCATCTGGCTTGAGGGAAATTTCAAAACTTCAGTAATTTAGTTCTGATGCACACAAAAAAATAAAAAGAACCATATATTGTAGGCAGTGTATTCATTGCAGGCATGTACATCAACATTGACTGTTGTATTGTCCCTGCAGACACCTTGGATAGAAAAGCTTTGTGGGATAAATCCAGTCTGGCATGAGTGCTGTGATGTCATCAGGCCAAGTTAATGACCTCAGTGTGTGTGGCCTGTCCCACTCAGTTAAACTTATTCAGGCTCTCTTTGAGCTATTTGGCTTCACAAGCATTGGTGATCCTGGATAACAGGGCTCAAAAAGCTGAAGAAAACTCAAAGAAAACAAGGCTGGATCAAAGTACATGTGATCCGAAAATGCTGCATGAATAAAGCAATTACAGTGTGCAGATAGTCCTCCTTTATCACCACCTGCCAATAGGACAATTTGTTTGGTATATTTAAGACCTTATACAAAAAAAATCCACTAAAAATTTCCCTCAAAGTTGCCTGAATTTCTTCTGCAACAAATGATACTGATTGCCAAAACAGTATATATTGAACAATATGCTGTATTAGGGCTCAACAATAAGGATTGCTCGATTGCCCAGGGTGAGTAAAATGCAGAATCGGGCGAATAAATCCAGCAACTCCCTTTCAAGTAGTAAAAAAGAATTAAACACATCCTTTTTTCTGAAGCTGATGATGGAAGTAGCAAAGGAGTGAACCATCTCGCTTCCTTCTCATCTCTGCTGAGAGCTGCAGATGTGCAGTACCGATCAGGCACTTCAGGAGAAAATGGCACGGTGAAGGGGAATAAAGACAAAGTTTATGAGCTGAAGCGCCAGCGAGCATTTCAATTATCCTGGAAACAGAAGTTTGGCTGGATACATCCTGTACACCAGGGATACCCACTCTCAAAGAGCCAGTTAATAAACAAACATTAATATTATATAGCATTTATTTATATATATATATATATATATATATAACTACTGAATTGCCTGTTTTAAACCTTTCAACATCTGCTCTATGCAGGGATGTTTGTAGGATCTGAAGACATCTGGGGCTTATGGTGCGTTCCAGGCAGGCTTTTGAACTCCTAAGTCACGACTTCAAGTCACGAGTTACGACTTTGTAGCGTTCCAGGAAAGTTACGGCAAACTGCCAGTTACTTCCTATTTAACGTTGAACATGGCGAACCGTATGTTTGTGCTTCCCCAATATTTCTATCGCCAAAGGTGCCTGCTCCTTGCTCATTTGAGCGAAACGGAGGAGGAAAACAGCGCACAAGGTCACAGATGCTATTATACTTTTTATTTTATGTTATCTGTGTGTTTGGAAACATATTTTGTATTAATCATTCTTGCACTGGAAACCAGCTGTTAGAGCGGCTGCCAATAATGCGTTAACATTAGGGTTATTTTATGTCTATTTCTCACCATGTATCACCTGCATCAACACGGCATCCATAGGGCTGCCATTGTTATTTAGAGGAGTAAGGTAATTGGTTTAGAAGGCTGTGTGACGTCAGAAAGCGTAACTGGGAGTACATCGATGTGGTGCGAGTTCACAGGTGGGAAGTTACGGGTTTGACTGCCGTTCCAGTGCACTTTCACGGGTTACAGGTTGTGAAAACACGAGTTACGGGTTGCCTGGAACGCACCATAAGAACAGATGTTCCTCCTCTGATACTTTTTTAATGCACTCCGTCACCTTATTTAGATTCAAAGTACAAAAAAAAAAAAAAAAAACTACTGGCGGGCCACTCTGCACACTATGGTGGGCCACATTTGGCACATGGGCCTAAAGTTGGGTATCACTTCCCTATATCTCCTTTATCTGCCTCTATTTTTAAAACAAATATCAGGTGACCAACATGGCATGTCCCTTTACATGTGACTTCATATTGATTACAGAGTCAAAAGATTTGACATCTGCATATCTGTTTCACATACACACACACACACACACACACACACGGTGAATGTGCCAACACAGCAAAAAGAGCTTCTTCTTCATTGGGAAACACTGTGAGACTATTATAAACAGAAGAGGTCCATGCAGGGGCCCACTGAACGGTTTACAAACTGGATATCAACCTTAGGTTTTATGAAACAAGTAAAGTGAATGTGTCAAAGTTCAGCCTTGTTGGTTTAGGGTCATGAATGATGACTCAGGACTGACTCATTGAGAAATTTTCCAATGCTGGGTGATCTGCCTGCTCAGGGGTACAGGGGCTGCTGTTTTCTCACAGCTGTGCAATCTGCAGTGCAACAGCTGACAAGACAAAGGGCTTATGAGGCCTTCATGACCATAGCAACACTATGTCATCATACCGGTCAGTAGATGGACCATGACAGGGCATGACTATTTTTAGTATGCTGGGCTTTAGATGGAACAAAGTGCCAACTGGAGCCAAGATCTCTCCTAGATGAGAGATTTAACCCTTTGTTCCCCGTTCTGATTGAATCTAACTTTGTATCTACGTTATCAGAGAGTAGACTGGTTCATCAGGCAGTCTGCAGAAGTCTAGATAGCTTGTAACGTTACTTGTATTTCAGGCCTATGGAAATTTTGATTTTGGCTCATGTTTATGAGTCAAGGCCCATCAGTGGTTGCAGACTGGAGTTGTAGTTGCAGACCTCTTTTTATTTTCATGTCAGTCTGTGCTTCCACGTCACAGGGGCCTCATGTCATCATATATGAATCTTAACACTTTAATATTATTAATGAACGAAAAAGTTTCAGACTTTGTTCGTACACAACAAGCACAAACTGGATAAAAGTTGCTAACTTGGATTCCCATGAGAGAGAGAGGAGAGTTCACAGTGACAGAACATTAGTGCATCACATGATAGCTTGACAGCTGGCACATCCTTCCGTTCATCCTCCTCCTCACATTAACAAAGTCTACATCCTGTCTGTGCCCTCGTTTTTAATCCTTTTACAGCAGGCTACATACAACTAACATTCAGGGCAGAAACGTCAATGAACAACCTGAACAATGAACACCATTCAGCTGTCAACTACCAAATGAACACTACTGTATTAATGTCATGTTATTTGCCTGTAGCTTACCCGACAACGAGGAAAACAACGATGGCCAAAGCTAGATAATTTGTTTGATAATAAAGCAGGTTGTTGACAACCCTGTTGTTCCATTTCGCCAAGTCTTTGGAGTCCGGTTTAGCGAATCTTTCCGAGCCGGGGAAGAAGTCGTCCCATGGTCTGAGCGGCGTCAGCTCCACTTTAGCCATTAGCCTTCTGCTCACCTAACTGTTCTGACACCAACAGTACCAGGTCATCAGCCGGAAAAAACACCAACAGACAAACTACAGTCTCGCGAGAAACTAATGACAGCACATGCCTTTAAACCACGCCCCGTGAGTGATGAAACCTCACGCTATTGGCCAGCAACTGCACGATATCGAAACACTTCCTGTAAAGCTTCACAGCAGAGAAGGTTGTAAGGAATCGATAACTACGCTGTCCAGTTATAAAGTCTTCTGTTATAGTAGCAGGTCAGTTCTGTCTGTTATGTTTGGTGAGTCTGAACTGACATGTTGACGTTGCTCACGAGGTGCCAGTGTGTGAGCCGTGTGCCAAGCGCACGCGGACCGCTAAAGCTCGCGAGCGTGACTTCAGTGATATGTAACGTTAGCTAACTCAATAAAAGCTCAAACAGGCACCTGACGACGTTTTTGTTGTTTGTACAGATGTGGTGCAGAATATTGAGTCCTCGGATTGTTGGTAGAACAGGTTTCTGTTGGAGGAGTCTCTTCACTATGCAGCTGAAAACCAGTGAGTTCCAGTCTCTGTTCACTGAAGGACTGAATGGACTAGCAGGTGAGTTGCAGCTGTGACCAGACACCTGACCAGTTATGGTCTCTTACAGCTCTACCCTTCTACACTTGTTGTCTCAGAGACAGTGGGAGTAAAAGTAGTTAGTGTTTCACAAATGAGGGAGATTTGAAAGAAGAAATTTAAACGTTTGAGATGGAGCAAGAAAGTTCAAAATGATCTGATTTTTACATCAATACTTGGATGAGTTCATATAAGCATATTTTTTCAACGCTTAATTTTCAATGAAATAATCAGAGCAAGACCGATTATTTGGCCAGGTAGGTATTGGCTCATTGCAATACAATATCAGCATATGTGTCGCCTTCAACAACAGTTAACACACCACAGAAACGTGTGTGTGTGTGTGTGTGTGTGTGTGTGTGTGTGTGTGTGTGTGTGTGTATGACAGTTTGCCCACCACAGAGCACTGGCATGTTTGTTTTCTACTGTGAAATGTCCCTCTCAAGTTCTGTAAAGGAACTGATGTTAGGGATCCTTTTCAGAAATGTCTGTGTATGTTGTGTGTTACTACATCCACACAGTAGTACATGAGACGGATAATCTGTGGGAAAAATCATGTTTCTCTGCCTCCTCTTAGTGCTTCTAATGGCATTTGCTAGAATCCACCAAGACTGAGAAATGATATGCAAAGAGTGCATAACACTTGTGTCTGTGCCGCAAAGCAATACGATTACCTTGTTAAACCACCTAAAAAAAAAGTATAATCTGCAGTAACATGAATGCATGATGGCCAAGAAAAATAACAACACTAATGTTACCCCACTGAATCCCTGTCCTTGTCCAGTGTCACCTCAGTCATGATAGCGATGTTTCAGTGTGTCACAGTACCATCACTGTAGGAGGTGCACTGAACTCAGGTGAAGAAGAACATTATTTTTTGATGCAAAGATTAGTACAGTAGCAGGAATGTAGCACAACATGGAAGCGAAAGCAGTGCTCCGTTGATTCAAATGTGAACATGAAAAAATAAATGTTCCTGAAAACAATGAATAATCTAGACAAACAAACATGATCTCAATATTGATCAGAATACTCATGATTATCATTTGGCCCAAGAAGATTCTGTTACTGCATTTCCGGTTTCTTGCCTCAAATGTTCTCAGAAACATATTTCAGTGTTCTGTTTGGGTGTAAAATAAGATGGTTTGCTCTGGCTGGTGGGCGCTGTTTCGTTTGGGCTCGACTGTTTCCAATACCCCCACTAAAATATGTTTCTGAAAACACTCAGTACGTTTATATGCACAGTTTAATTCCACTTTTAATCGGAATGAAAGGCCATTCCGATTAAAAGTGGTCATGTAAACGGTCATTCCGATTGAAAAACGGTCATTCCGATTGAAAATTAAATCCGATTATACAACAGTTAGTTCCGGCCCTGCAATCTGATTGGTCGAGAGACAGTAAAACCGTGATGATATTGGAGTACAACATCACGGTTATTTCACTGTGTATGTATCACTCCGCCTCACAGCTGATTGCAATCAACAATCAAATCAAAACTGACGGTTAGTGTCAGTTAGGTCAGCAGTTGCGCATGCTCGTTTCGTTGCCCTTCTGGCGCGATGACGTATATAGCGCGCATAGCAACGGGCTGCATAGCAACAGGCTGAGATAGAGCAGTTGGACTTGTTGCACTCACCGGTTTCCATTCGCCACAGCACGGTCTTCTATCTCCCTTATTCGACCTTCTACCTCCCTTCTCCTCCTCAACAGACGAAGCATTCGCAGAACAAGGTTGTTGTCGTACTGCTGCTTCAAGAATATAAGCAAAACAAGACCGAAAAAGGCACTAAGAACGGCATCGTCAAGCATCTTGTTATCCGGAGCGAGGACTACAGTGTTTTCTTCCGGTAAACGTAAACACGTAACATCCGCCCGCCCCCTATCCAATCAGAAACCTTCCCTGACCCAAACCTTGCGCAGACCTGAATAAAGGCGATTGAACTGATCTCCCGTGTAAACCCTCATTCGGAATGAATATTTCCCATGTAAACTACCTGGAAAAACTTTAATTCCGAATGATTTCATTCAGATTTATTTCATTCCGAATGAGAAGCCATCATGTAACCGTAGCCACTGAGACAAGTAGGCAATGCAGTAACATACTCCTGATTCACATATGATCAGTGCTGCCTAGTTTGACAGTTAGACTGTAGTTCAGGAGCAGTGATTGACATGATCGACAGCTGCCTTAAAGACTCCTCGGTTCTGATTGGTTGTTTTCCTTCAGTTGTGACGTAATCTTGCAAATGCCATTAGAAGCGCTAAGAGGAGGAGACAGAGGGACATGATTTTTTTCACAGATTATCTGTCTCATTTACTTCTGTCAGGATATAGTGACATTTCCATCAACTATGACAAAAAGTTATTTTTATAAAAGTTATAACTGCAGCTTTAATTTAAAAAAAAAGAGTGCTTTGATGTTGTTAGCTGATTTTTGTAACCCCTTAATTTCAACACCAGTGTCTGCCTCAAAAATCCAGTGTTGGTCAAGCTCTATGAAATCCAAAGCTAAAGGCCATGTCCTAAAGCTCACTCAATCCTAAATATTGTTCTGAAAAGACAATTTTAAATTGCTTTGACATTTTACTGTTTTGAGCTCTAAAAGAGCCGGAGGCCTAAAGGGGTACCTCAGCTTTTTAGCATTGCACCTCCATAAAGCACTGCGCCAGAGACAGATGATGCCACAGAGACCAGAATATTCAGACTTTTATTGCCAAGTATGGGTCAAATGCCAAAAAAATCTGGATCCTACATTTTCCATAATGCAACCAAGAAAATTGTTTTGTTGGACCTTTTTTGTCTGGTAACTATAAATGGCTTTTTTACTGTACACCTCCAGTTTAGAACGCAGATTCTGTGAATTCTTTTTGTCCAGCTGAAATAATCCAGATGAATATGTCCACACCATAGACTGTATGATAAAACACATTTCCAAAGCTGCTCTGTTAGTAATCAATAGTCCTTCTTGTTTGAGTGAAAAATCAACAGGCAGAGTAAAAAAACAACTTTCTGGCTAATTGGCAAAGTGAAAACAGCAGTAAGAACAAAGGGGAGAAACAAGAATTGAAGTGTTTTTGTGTTGCTTCGTGACAATTATTCCATTATCTTGGAAAGTTTCTTCTCTGACTCTGTCCCTGCAGGTATGACTCATTTAACCAGAAAGACTGTTAGTGCCTGTCTAAAAAGTTTCCCACCTGCTGTAAGTTTGTATTTGTTCTTTCCAGTGGTGTTTGAGAAGCACCAGCATGAGCTGAGGATAGCTGGAGGCGCTGTGCGAGACCTGCTGTCAGGGAAGCGGCCTGAAGATGTGGACTTTGCCACTACAGCCACTCCAGAGGAGATGAAACAAATGTTCCAAAAAGCTGGCATCAGGATGATCAACAATAAAGGAGAGAAGCATGGGACCATTACAGCAAGAGTAAGAGGCTGTCTGAGCAGGCGGGATGTAGCTGTAGTTTGCTTTTTTTCCCTTTAAATCACTGTTTGGAAGATTTAAAGACTACTTAAACTATCTGCAGCTAGGTTCTCTACTTTCATAGAAGAATAGCAAAGTCAGTGGGTGACAAATAGTCCATACTGCTTTCAAAAAATTATGTTTCAAAGCTTGGCGAGGCAACCAAGGCATTGGTTTAAAAAAAGGACAAATTATTGGTGCAGACTATTCGACGGTAATTTTAGGGGAGACCAAGTCACAGAGTAAAATGACTAAAGATATTGATCATCAGATCATCCGTTAATGAATGTTCCTTTATACATGAATAAACATGATCAAGTCAGCTGGATTTCAGTTACATAAAAGTGTATTTATGTAACTATTTATGTAAATGTTTACATCTGATGACCAGATTGATTCATATTTCTATGAGGAAAGGTACTGTTCTGCTTTCACAGAGGGTGAGTCATCATGAGACATGCATTATCAATTATCTGAGTAGTGGAACACAATACGACAGACCGGCTGAGGGATGACAGAACAGGAGGGTTTCCTTCTGTCTCATACAAATCACCTGTAATATTTCTCTTCAGTAGATTTACACTAAATTGATTCTCAAAAACATAGAACAAAGCACATCCTGTTTAAGTACAATATGGAACACGGGATTATTTAGTGTTTTTCAGGACAGTTAGCAACCCTAACATGACCACAGATGTTAAACCCAGAGACTTCAAAGTGAATACGAACATATTACATTCGTATAAAATATGATGGTACAGAAAGATGGCAACAGTTATAAAAAGGTCATTGTAATCGTAATTGGTTTTGTTGTTGGGCTACCCAGTTGCATCCTGGGAAGCTGTTAGCATTTTTTTCTTTCATGTGCAATCAATCTGATCTACCACACAAGTGAGTCTTACTTCATGAGTTAAAGATTTTAATGGATCAGCCGTCTGTGGACTGTGGGAGGTCACTCACAGATAAGCAGCCCATTAAGGAAGCTCTACTTCTGGTTTATTTGTTTATTCCTGGAATATGTAAATAATGGGTCTACTGAGCAGAGGTTGAGCACTGGAATATATGGCTCCATAAGGTTGAATGAATATAAAAATCCTGCAGCGTTCAAATCGAATAGGGTGGCTTTACCATGTGACACAACAATTCCTGAGTGAGTTTACTGACTTCATGTATATGTCAGTGGGATTGTCTCCAAGTAGCGTGAGTGCAGTTTGCTGTGCCTCTTATCATCTGTGTTTTGTTTACTGGACATCTTTCACAGCTAAACAATGAGAACTTTGAGGTGACCACGTTGCGAGTGGATGTTCAGACAGACGGACGCCATGCAGAGGTGGAATTCACCACTGACTGGCAGAAAGACGCTGAGCGGAGAGACCTCACCATCAATTCCATGTTTTTAGGTACTGGTGTGTTGAATGACTCACCTCTGTGTTTGCTCGTGCTGTGGGGCTACCCAGCATGTGGTATCAGTTCAGGGGACATTGTCACTTATTTTATGACATTTATTACACTTGTGTCAGACTTCTTTATTATGTTTCGTTGACTTTTCCCCTCTCACAGGGCTTGATGGCACATTGTATGACTATTTCAAAGGATATGAAGACCTGCAGAACCGTAAAGTTCGGTTTGTTGGCAGTGCTGATCAAAGAATCAAAGAGGACTACTTAAGAATACTGCGGTATTTTAGGTGAGTTGCCTCATTTAACTTCAAACTTAGCATAAATTGAAAGCCAAAGAAAAAAATCATTGTTCCTATTTGTTTGACACTAAAGCTCTTTACCTCAATTGTCTCATTTCACTTCAAGGTTCTACGGCAGGGTGGCCTCGGAGCCTGATAATCACGAGCCTGAGACGCTGGCTTCTATTCGGGAAAACAGTCGTGGACTTGCAGCGATATCAGGAGAACGGATTTGGCAGGAACTAAAGAAGATGGTTGTTGGTAACCATGCTGCTCATCTGCTGGAGCTGATGTACAGTCTGGAACTGGCCCAGTATATAGGTGAGAGGGTAGGCAAGGATAAGAAAAGATTTCAAAGTATGTTTTTTTGGCATTTGAGGGGAAAATATATGGTACCCGCGGGTACCCGACCCAGTGAAGGACTCTGCCGTGAACTCTGGTTCTCGTCAGCACTAGATAGAGATAATTCAATGAGTCTTGATTATTGAACTCTTCTAGTAACCACAAAGGACGTATACCAGGGTACCAATACTGCATGCATGTCATCACCAATAAATTGTAGTACATTTGGGTTCTATGTCTGACTTAGTTTCTCTAGCTGTTAAAATCAGCTCTCCCATCCCTGCTCCTCTCCAGGTTTACCTCCAGATGGCAATGTTGAGGAGATGAAGCGAGTGTGTCAGAACGCCGAAGATCATTCTCCCAAACCCATGACCATCCTGGCTGCTCTCTTTAGCCGCCCAGAGGAGGTGGAAAAGATGGACGTGCGGCTGAAGGTGTCCAAGGAGGAGAGGACTCTTGCTCTGTTCCTGATCAAACACAGACGGGAGCTTCGCAAGAGCGAAGACGAGCCAGACAGCCTCAAACCCTTCACTGACTTTATCATTGACGTAAGTTTCAGCTTCCTCCATTTAGTCCACAGAAACAATCAAACGGCAGTTATCAATGTGTTTTATAATTAAAAGGGTGGCGGACATTTATTGTTGGGATTTAATGTGGTCATTGATTTCAGCCATGAATATTCAAAGAGTGCATATATCCTTTTCTAGACAGGCAGGGTTATTCACAAGCATGTGGTATGTAGTGTTATAATCATGCCAAAACTTTTTCTTGCTCAAATGTGGATATTTGCTTGTTTTCTTAGTCTTCTGTGATAGTAAACTGAATAAAGTATGTGTGGGCTTTAGACTGTTGATTAGATATAACGAGCAAACTGAAGCCGCCAGCTGGATTCAGGGAAAATATGATCAACATTTCCTCAAAGAACAAACAACGAATCAAGTAAAATAAACAGCAAATTAACCAATCATAAAAATAATAGTAGTCACAGCTCTACTTTAAATCGGCCCCTTCTACTCACCGCTGTGATCTTGTCCGACAGTGGTCCACCTCCATCTTTCACCCACACCTGAATGCAACATGTTTCCACCCAAACCCATAGTGCTTGGTGAAAGGCATTCTTAAGCCTTATTCACACAGGACTGCTATTACCTGGGGACGACTGGTAATTTGAAATAATTGCGGAGGTCATCTGTGATCTTAATCCTGTGCCAATCTGCCATGTCTGTAATTTGTCAAGTAAAAATTCCACTGCAAATTACCAACCATATTTGGCCAAACACAGGTCTTGTTGATAATATTAGTCCCGTAAGAATCAGCATCTCCATGATTTGGTGTCGTATTTTGTTTTCTTCATCCCTCTTTTCTGCCTCTGTACCAGTCAAGAGAATTATAGGGGCTGCGTTGGCAATTTTAACTAAATTCTTTAACAGCTTTTTGGGTGCAGGAGTCTCGCCACACAGTATGGTGACCCGTTCTCAGAAAAAACAATCTCAAATCAATCACAAGAACAAAATCTTGAAAGATTATGAGATGGATGACGTTACAATGTGTGGCAGAGTCGGCTCTGTTTGTTTAACCCACATTTGAAAAGAAAAAGAGGAGGTCAACATTGTACATCCTCACTAGTAGTGGTGTGCACTGTTTGTGTTATGTAGAGTGGAACTACAAATGTTTGTGCACATCATATCCAGGGGATGATTTCAGTAAAAGCATGTAAAATACAGACTTCGCTGGTCCCGTGTGAATGTGCTTCGTTAAACACAGACATGGAAGGTCATTTCTAGATCACATGAGATTCCCTGGTAACATTGGTCCCATGAGAAAAGGGTTTAGAAAATGTTTTGATCAGTAACTGGAATTGAGCCCTAAAAGCCAAATCAAAATGGATCTGGTTCCAAGTGGGTAAAATACTTGGAGTTGTTCTGGTCTTCAACAAATATCTTAATTGAATAATAATCTCTGTAATAATCTCTGTTCCTTTTATTATTAGCAACAAACAAATACTAGAACATTCTGGTCGTTTATCTAACAAACAAGTTTCAGTTCTTAGTTTGGTACTTTGCCTTTTCTCAAAACAGTTGAATTTGTAACATAAAGGGGAACACCACCTAAATTATGAATCCCAATATGTCATTTCCATGGCCTAGTTAGGTTCAATCAAAATTTGTGAACATTGGCTGCTCTCTTAAAGCCAGAAAACAGAGGAGTAAGTCTCAAACTTGTGATGTCATAGGGTATAAATTCTGCTCCATAGACCATGAACAGGAGCCTGATTTTGTGGACCCACAGAATGATTGTTTTCTTCTTTACATCCAAATGAGCTTTCATCTGTTGTAGTGTTCTCAGCTCTGAAACACTAAATGTGGCCATACACTCAGAACGTTCCCCTGGGTGCTGTCATTGTGGTCCATGACATCTTTCCCAAGTCATTGTCTATGGAGTAGCTCCACACTTTATATTTGAGAAAATCACAAATGTGACATTTGGCACTCTAGTTTTTGGATTTGAGAGAGAGTTGTTCATGCTTACTGCTACCTTCTACTGAGCTACACAAGGCAGGATGAGAGAGTACACCAAATAAATAACGACACTTCACTACAGAATAACTACAATATTCCAAAGGCCTTAATTGTATTTTCTCACTGGGCGTGTTATTACAGGAGGATTTCTACACACAGTTTGTTTTTCCCTGTGCTCTTCTTACCAGTTAGAAGTGGTCCAAGCTCACGTAGAAAAATGTGATGTTACAAATTTAAGTGAATCAATCATGATTTAGGAATTTTTTAATAACAATGTGATGACAGTAATGTGATCGCTTGCTTATGTTGTCGGCAGCTGTCAATCAAATGTGATTAAATCATACCTACACAGTCCTGAAGAAGCAGGGCAGTGTTAAATGTCAGACTCTAACATAATACCCAACTTAACCTGTTGCTTATTTAGTCATGATTATTTGATGTGAAAGAAAATACTGAAATCAAGGCACCCAGTAGCTCAGCAGCAGCTGTTCACACTTTACCTGTCCTGTCCAATAAAGGCAAAAATCCCAAAAAAGAAATCCTGAAATCGAGTTTTCAGGGGCTTTATTTCACACACATACTGTATCTTTTCAGAGTCGGGAGCTGGACACTCAGAGTAAAGTCTGTGAGCTACTGAAGTATCAAGGTGAGGAGAAGCTGCTGGCAGAGCTCAGCAGGTGGACAATCCCTCGCTTCCCTGTCAGCGGTCACGATCTGAGGAAGATGGGCATCACGACAGGCAAGGAGATAGGCGCCACCTTACAGAAGCTCCGCGACATCTGGAAGAGAAGTGGTTATCAGATGGACAAAGATGAACTCCTCAGTTACGTCAAGTCTTAGATGAGAACAACACAACACAAAGGACAGTAACAGTCTGAACACTTGGCACTGTGATTGTTCTTCTCATTCATATTGATTGAGCAGACAAGGACAAGAACTGAGACATGCATTGATGAATGATATGTAAAGTATCTGGATAAAGAGCTGTTGTACTGATGAGCAGTTACTATAGAAAAATGTTATTTTCACTGTTATACCTATATGTGGAAGCAGACATTTGGTCTTGATTGCATTTGGTTTTCTCCTCAGTTTAACTGCAGTTGTGGATAATTTCTGTGGAACAATGTTCTATAAAAAGGTTCTACTTTTTATTAAATACTGGCATTGGGATTCTGAAGTTGAATTGCATGCACTGCAGCATACAAAGCTAAATCTACTCCATATGTGTGTGCTGTGAGAAATATTTTTTGTGCCAGGGGAAGGTTGCTCCTCCTCCTGCACAGATGAGGAGATATAAAGCCTCTGCTGGCTTTACTATCGCTACACTTTCCGCCTTAAGACGTTCAACACCTGTCGCTTACTGGACTTTTAACCACTAAAACTCCAACAGCATTTTTCCACAAGGAACGACCTTTTCATAAAATATTCAGAAGTTGAATTTCGACTGTCTGCTTACATATTTTGGTAGTTCTTAAATCCCCCAATTTCATCTGGATTCACCTGGAATGATCAGCGGTGCACAGCTACTGGTCTGGGTGGAAACATGGATTGGTTCATTGTAAACATGAGTAACATCAGTTTGGAGAGCGTGCTACCTGGGGATGAGCCGCGAGATGAGCGCTTGGCTCAAATAGAAATAGCTATTCTGTCCATCATTTTCATCACTGCAGGAATCCTAAACTTCGGGCTCTTGTTGGTGCTGTGGAAGCGGAGGAAGCAGCTCTCCAGGATGCGCGTCTTTGTTTTCCACCTGTGCGTCGCCGACCTGGTGGTCACATTCTTCCAAGTTTGTCCGCAGCTCATATGGGACATCACGGACAGATTCGTCGGGCCAGATATATTGTGTCGCGCAGTGAATTACCTGCAGCTGGTCGGGATGTTTGCTTCAACTTATATGATCGTAGTAATGACGATAGACCGATATCAAGCCATCTGCAACCCCATGGTGACTTTCCAGAAGCGCAGGGCGCGCTGGAACGGTCCGGTGTGCGCCGCCTGGTTTGTCTCTCTCATCGGCAGCCTCCCGCAGATCTTCATCTTCTCCCGGGTCGAGGTCGCTCCCGGTGTGTACGACTGCTGGGCGCAGTTCATCAAACCGTGGGGACCGAGAGCCTACGTGACCTGGACGGCTCTCGTGATATTCGTCCTGCCTATTGTCATGGTGATCGTGTGCCAGGTGCGCATCTGCCGCACCGTGCTCATCAACTTTCACATGAAGACACAGCACGTCGCAGAGGCGGCCAGTAAGTCGCTGTCCTCGAGGGCCAGCAGCGTGGCAGGGGTGTCCAAGGCGAGGGTGAAGACGGTGAAGATGACCGTGGTCATCGTGCTCGCTTACATCATCTGCTGGGCGCCTTTCTTCACCGCGCAGCTCTGGTCTGTCTGGGACGTTGTGCCGCCCACTCAGAGTAAGATCACCGGGACACACACTCACATAAGAATGCGTGGCGCGGGTTACTGCACATCATCGGCTCTGATGTGTTGGATTTAGAGAAGGATTGGTTATAAACTCCATAGCGTGAGGAAAACCATGAAAACAACAAGCCTTTATTTAGTATTATTAGCACTAGGTAGGATGAAAAATGACTAAAGTATAAATAAATGTTTAAATAACTGCAGGAATAAAAATAATAATTAGTGAAATAAATGTATAAATAAACGCAGGAATAAATAAATTAATATTGAAAATAAATACAGCAATACATAAAAGAATAATAAACACTGACATAAACACAGATATGAGAAACCCTAAATAAATAAAAATAATAAATTAGCAAATGTTAAAATATGAAAATAATTACATAAATGCATAAATGAATACATACGTATATTTATTTTAACGTTTTTGTACAACATTATTTTTGTATTTCTGTGGCTGTATGATAAAGAGGTAGGAGGTCCTATAATCTGCTTCCTTTCTCTCTGTCTGTCCTTATTTATTAATTTCAGCATTTATTCTTTAATTTATTTATTTAGACGTTTTGTCTTCAGTAGGATACCATTATCCCTGGTAATTGTTATGTAACTGTGACATTTTTGTAATCCAGATTCCCTGTGAGTGAGTTTATTTAAGGTAACATCTTTAAATAAATTTAAAAATATATATATAAATTATAACCAAGCTGTCTTTTTTTTAACAATACACATGTTCATTTAATAATAACAATAGACATGGAAGGGTCTCCACTTAAACACACTTACTGTGATAGAAGCTGTACAATATAGTCTGTCCCAGAGAGGTCATTGTTCCTTATTGCTTAACATGAAAATCAGGATAAACAGAGTTTAACTGATGACCCTCCAAAATTAGAAAAATATATCTAGAAATTGGTCTTCCCTAATAAAGTAAATCAAAATATTAGATTATTAATATTAATAATTGTTCTCATTTCCTCCTCTGTGTTTCCAGCTGCAACCTTCACCATCTTGATGCTTCTGGCCAGTCTCAACAGCTGTGCGAACCCCTGCATTTACTTGCTGTTCAGCGGGAAGCTGCCCAAGTCGCTCATGGCCCTGATGTGTGACGGTCAGCCCGATATGAAGGAGTCCATCCAGGAAGACGCCACCATGGTCAGCTCCCTGTACATCAGCCTTAAGAGTATATCGGACTGCAAATAAAAGTACTGAAGCCTAGGACGCTTGTCTCACCTCAGGCCAGCCTGGTGAACATGGTATAAAATATGGATCCCTTGGAGAAAGACTGACACCCTCTAATATCTGTGAGGACGAACATTATAACAGAACTACAGCTCGCTGTTGTTAGAGAAATGAACAATCTATGAAATGCTTTCATGCTGAAACCACACGAGTCTTAACAGGGACGTTACAGAGAAACATTAAGTGTGATACAGTTGCTATAAAGTCACTTTTATACTTTTGCAGTGTTAAAGGATTACTGTAGAATTTTATCAACACTTTATATGAAGATACTTATATTGAACATTAACTAGTTGCTTATTAGCATGCATATTAGTAGAATATTGGCTCTTCATTAGTCATTATAAAGCCCTTATTCTGATGACTGTATTCTATAGGCCATTAACTAACAGTCTTGCCTCACCAACCCTCTGCATTTCTGCTTATTGATTGTATGGAAGTTGTTGCACATGCATTATGAGTTGTTATAATTATAAGGTGTAGTACCACAAGAATAGTCACTTAATACATATGGTCTATTCTTATGTAACAAAACCAAAACCACAAGTGTTAATAGTGTCAACATAACTCTAAACTAACTCTTTCTAGCACCAGATATATCCTCCAAATATGTTCTAATGTGAGGCTTTGCACATAACTAATTCACTAGTATTCTGACACTTATTAACCCACGTAGGTTCCCCTTCTGAAGTTGCCTCCTCTTAACACTTAGTAAATCCATTATAGCACACAACTTATACAATTAATGGACCCTGTGCTTATGTGATGGGTTACAAAGCTATTAAGATGTTCTGCCTGATCACTAACAGGGGAACACCGCCTAAATTAAGATTCTAATAAGTTATTTCCATGGCCTAGGAAGGTTCAGTCAATATTTGTGAACATGAGCAGCTCTCTCAAAGCCACAAAAGAGAGGAGTAAGTCTCAAACTTGCGATGTCATCAAGTATAAAGTCTGGAGCTGTGAACCCACAAACTGTTCAAAATGACCTTTATTCTGTTGTAGTGTTCTCCAATAGAGAGTTCCAATAGACAAAATATACCCATATACTCACAACATTCCTCTGGGTGCTCTCAGTTTCAACTACAACATCTGTCCCAGATCACTGTGTATAGAGGGGCTTCAGACTTAATATGCTGATGACATCACAAATTTGAGTGTCCAGGACCGTAAGGGAAATGAGACTGATTTTTTAATTAATTTATTTATTTATAATTCTATAATTCTGAAAATTGGTGTAGTTCCCCTTAAGTAGTTGTATGCTATAGTATATTTACTAAGTGTGAATAGAGGATAACTTTAGAATAGGAAACCTGTGTGGGTTACAAGTGTGACAGTAGAGGTGAATTAGTTATGAGCGAGACCTCACTTTAAGATGGAGAATATATTTAAAATTAAAAAGACTTAATTTACAGTTACTTGGACACTATGAACATTTATCGTTTTGCCACATAAGAATAGACCATATTTATTAAGTGTTATTCAGGTAGAATGACTATCCTTGTGGTATTACCACCTTGTAAGGCCCATACAGAGCAAAGCATATTTAGATCATAATTCATGAACAACAACTTCCTTACTTACTAACAGTAAGCAGAATTAGGAGGTTACTGAGGGAAACCTGTCAGTTAATGGCCTAGTTAAGAACATTGTCATACAGGCATTAATAAGAGCTTTATAATGACTATTAATGAGTCAGTGTGCTACTAATATGCCTGCTAATAAGCAACTAGTTAATGTTGAATATATGTATCTTCATATAAAGTGCTGCCAAATATCTACAGTAATCCTTTGACATTAAAAAACAGCAACTAGCGACTATAACAACTGTTTTTAGCCATTAGTTATATGGTTCAAGAGATGACAGTGTTGGTCAGTCACTTTGGCCCAGACTGAAATATCTAAACAACTGGATGAATTTCCATGAAATTTTGTACAAACATGCATGTTCCCAAGAGGATGAATCCCAAAGACAGTCATGATTCCTTGACTTTTCCCAAAGTGCTACCGGCAGGTCAAAGTTTTCACTTGTCCAGTGAAATATCTCAACATCCACTTGATGGATTGGCACGAAACGAACAGACATTCATGGTTCCCAGAGGATGAATCCCACTGACTTTGTAATTTCCCAGCACCACCATGAGGTTCACATTTGTGATTTCAAATGAAACTGTCCATTTCTTTGGTTAATGACTAAATACCTGCAAAACCACTAACATTCCCATCGGACTCAGGTGTACTTTGTGTTTAGTACTTATCAGGAAATGTTGCAAGCATGCTAACACACTAAACTAAGATGGTGAACATGGTGCACATTGTATCTGCTTAACATGTTAGCATTGTCATTATGAGCATGTAAGTGTGCTGATGTTAGCATTTAGCACAAAGCCTTTTTACATCCTTACAGAGCCGTCAGCACAGCACAACATGGATCAGGTTATTTTATCAGAAAGACATAAATATTAACAAGAATCATGAAACAGACACCATTTGCATTAAAGTTGTTAGTATAT